ACTTTTAAAATATATAAATAGAATCTATGTGGATTTTTTGTTTTCAAGTCCGGCCAGAGAGTCATCAACAACTTGCCTTTATACTATTTATTCTAAGGGCGAAACTAAACACAACTATGTATTTCAAATCGGCACAGTTAAAAATAAATATTAATAAAAAATATAAAAAATAAAATAAATAATAATAAAATAAATAGGGGATAAAATATTATCAGGCGAACATTTGAACTTGAAATTGTCGGCAATGTGCCCTGGCACTTTGATTGTGGACTTAGATTACTTAGATTAGGGGTAAGCAGTATCCATTTCTTCGCCCACACTAAAAAATTCAATGACAAAGACGTTAAAAAGGAAAATCAGAGAGAACTCAAGAAAGAAAGAGTGAAACTGAAAAAAAAAGAGAGAGAGAGAGAGAGAGAGAGAGAGAGAGAGAGAGAGAGAGAGAGAGACAGAAATAGAGACAGAGAGAGTGTGTGTGTGAGTGTATGTATAAAAATTACAACACGGCCTCTCTCCATGTTCAGTTAAATCAAGAAAGGAGATAATCTCATTGTCAGCTCGCTTAAAGTTCTTCCCGCCTTGATAAAGGGCCTTTATTACGTGTCCGAAAAGGTAAAAGAAAAAACAGGATAGCGGCTGGTGACGTCTAGGTTTTATCTCGAATAAATTCCGACTGGTACAACAGGGCGACCGAATAAGTTGAAAATAGGAAGAAAAAAAACGAACAAAGAAGAAATATTGTCCAGTTTGACCGAATCCCTGTTTTAAAGGGTTTAAGTTTTAATTTTGAATTTCTAAGTCGAGCAGTTCATCAGTCTTTACGTTTGTAGCTTATCCAGCAAGATTCAAACCTACCATATTTTATGGTTTATACCTGCCGGAAAATTACTGTTATTGCATATATTCGCTTCGTCGACTTCATATTTCTTCCGGGTTTCGTTTTTCTAGGGTAAACCAATGAATTCGAAGTTCACTCATAGTAGATTCCCATGTTTCGGGGACAGGTGTCCCACCTACGTATATAGGACCGCTATAGATGCAATTGTATTTGTTTTTATGGTTCCAGTTTAACTTTTAATTTTTTGTCAATATGGCTCCCATCGCCAAAAATTGACTTTAAAAGAAAGAAAAGGAGTTGATTCTTAAAGCTTAACAAAACGCTAGGATAGAAATTATAATCCAATTCTACACCGCACATGAAGTATCTGCACATATACAGACTGCTGTGTGTTATCACCTGATAAAATATCTTTAGAGAATACCTCCAGATAGAAGACAAAGTAGCGACACCATGACCCTTAGCAAGAGGTTTCTCTGTATTTGTGTAAATAATACAGGAAATACGAAAACAATCTTATTGACTGGACACGTACGAGCAATAATTAGGTAGACGGACGTTAAATCCTGTATGACTTGCTATGGTAAATAATATAAAGTAATATAAAAATAAAGCCAAAAATTATTCTCTCAAAGCTAATAAAATCTTTATAAAGATTTAGAACCAGACAAAGGTTCTTGCCGTATTGGCTAAGGCACACCATCGAGAAAGACAAGATTCCGAATCATAACTCGCGTATTTATTTAGAACATGGGATAACTGGTGTTGGCTCTGCTGGACTCCAGAACCAATGGCTGACAAAATCTCTGGAGATTTTATTCTAAAGTATCTTTAGACAAAGCCGTCTTCCAAGGTGTTCAATCTCGCCGAAGGTGCAGTATGAATAAATTTCAAAAATTACCAACGGGTCAAGCTCGATGTGTAGGCATCTTAAATGAATAAGAGCAATATGTAATTAATTCATGTTGTTGCGTAATGCCATATTCGATTATGAGAAATATATTTAAATAATGTTTGTTCGACCGTCCCTCTTCGGTAATTAAAGTTAAATAATTGTTTAACCGAGAAATGTTCGTCTGTGAATTCGTTCAAAGACAGTAAAGATTTCCACATCGTTAGCCTCAAGATTTTTTTTTGTAAATCGACGTAGGTTAAGGTACAATCTCTAAAGACCAGAGAACTCATTTTGTATTAATTTACTCTGGCTAATTTTTTTCTTTAATTATTTTCATCGGTTTTTCGAGAATGGGCAAAATGATTAATATCCATTCGAAAAAAGGTTTCACCTTTGTAAATATATTCAAGAAGCTTAAAAGTCGATTGAGCCTAAAACAAACACAAATGAATGAATAGACAGTTACAAAGCATGCCGGACTCTCAGGCCATTCAGGATGATCACTGGCCATAGCAACGACCAAGGTTCCCGAGGTTATGTAACGAGGACAAAGGACGTGAAGATCTTCCAGAATAAAAAACAATTAATCATCAGTTAATGTTTATTTCGGCTGTTATTTTCACCGCCTGATTATTTATTAAACTTCGCCCTTTGAGATCTAATAATATTGTAATAATTAATCAAGCTGTTTCTATTTTTTCCAAGCTCTTTATTAACAACAAGAAAAACAAGAGGATAACCGGCCTAAGTGTTATTGGTTAGGGTCTTCGGGCAAAAGGTAAATAATTTGAAGGAACTTCGTTCACAAAGGTACAAATTTGACTGGTCTTGATCAAACTGCGCTGGGTTGTCCATCCTTCACTCTAGGACTAGGTGTGACCCGGTTATACTCTGTGGACCTTGTCCTCAGGACCGAAGTCCTCAAGACTTTTTTGACCGCGTGCGAGAGGGTGCGTTGGGAAGTCGATACTTGAGTAGCAGTACTTAGTATTACCATTACAATCGTGTATTTTGTTATAAAATTGCATCCTCATTTTATCGATTAATTTTGACATGAATTTCAGTGGGTGCACCAAGGGCGACTAACAAGCCAAACTAGCTTGAAGGCCAATTTCTTCCACTTGGAACGGACCAATTTTGTTCAGGGGAATTTCGAAGTTCATACTTCCGCCGAGGAGCATTTAAAGTCCGACAGGTGATCCTCCCTTGGGACGACGTTAGACTCGAAATGAGAAATAAATTATTCAACTTGGGACTCTGAGGTCATCGGCGCCTTCTCGCATCGAATTCAAAACCCTCAATCCACAAGGCCGAAATCGCTCGATTTTTGCCCATTTCCGTTCGACGATTCAACCGCCTTTAAAGCCGGTTGTCGGTGCCGACCGACCTTTCGTCTTAGAAAGCAAGTTTTGTCAGGAGTCAGCACAGGATGGGACCGAGCTTGGTAGAGACGTGACCGCATTATCGGACGATCCCATTGCTCATTGGCCAATCGAGTTATTGGGATTCCCCCGGCTTTCTTCCGGCTCCATAAAGCCGGAAAGTCTTCTTAAGATGATCGACTTATCATTCGCTGAAACCATAAACCAAACCTTAAAGTTTTAACTGTAGATTCTTCAATAAGGATGCAGAATGAGAGTTTTGTTTAAGCAATTACAATGTATATAAATAGAATATATATGGCTTGTAGACCCCGCGGTCGTGGGTTCGATTCCACCGTCGCCCTTGAAATTTTTGACCCCACCCTCAAAAATCCATTAGCATATCCAAATACTTGAAAAGTGGTAATATATTTATATATATATATACCATATTATTCAAGCATCAACACGTATTTTGAAATGGTAATGAATTTTATGAGGGCGAGGTCAAAAATTTCAAGGGTGATGGTGGGAATCGAACCCACGACCGTGGGGTCGATGAAAGGTCTGATGATACATAAAAATAATAGACCAAGAAGTGCACAACAAATCATAAGAAGAAAGTTTTTTTCCTTTTGACTTTCTTATTTTTTAACCATTGATCAAATTTGATATGAATGAATGAGGTCTTCCTCAGAATTTAGAACGTTTCGGACTCAATGGTCCTTCTTCAGGAGATCTAGCAGGTGTCCCCTGCGTCTGGCCGATGAATAATGATATAGTTGGAGATACGACGAGATCTTTTCAAAATGTAGTCGAGACATTTCTTTATATGAAATGGTGTAGTTTTCATGAATTATCTTATTATTTTTAGTTTTATTCGAGATTTATAGTACACTGTTAATAGTGTTCTAAACAAAAAAAATTGCTTTCGGCTTATTTGGAAAAATTCCCAAAAACATTTATGGTTTTTTTAGATTTAACGCTAATTGGAATCGGCAATGAAATCTCTTGATTAACAAGCAGTATTATGAGCTGATTTCCTGGTAATTTAATATTTCGTGCTTCGGAATCCGTGTTATCAAAGGCCAAAAATGAGGGAGAAAAGGCTCTTGGATTTTTTATTTTTATTTTTTATAACAGTAAAGTTTAATTTAGAATCCAAAGATTGGCGGGTAGGTGCTGGAATGCCGTCTCGCCGGTTGTCTCTCTCCTTCGGAAAGGAGGCGATCGGCGTAGATTTGTTTGCACCTCAAGGACGGCCATGCCGTAAATACACGCGGAATGTTGGAGAACGAATAATTCCCATTATTTTTTGTCGATTTTGAGACGAGGTTTTCCCGAAAAAGTCCGCCTTCATTTTAAAATATGTTATTATAAAAGAACAAAGGAGCAAAAAAAAAAAAAAAATAATCTAAAAATTAATCCAAATGTTTTAGTTAGATCCTAGTTGACTAAAGTAATTACTTAAATTGTTTTATCGTTTTTATATAAACTGTGGTTTATATAAAAAAATTAATATTACGAGCAGGTCTCGTGATTCTATACTCCGGAGGTCATGTGTTCGAGTCCAGCTCTTTTGTAATTTTTCATATCAACCATACTTAAAATTATAATCCAAAATTGTTAACTTCTCTGAATTTTTTCCAAAATGCCAGTCGAAATAAATTTCGCTAAGCTAATAAGAGATAAAATTTTAATATTTCCTCTTAATTTATCCGAAAAAAGTTTATAAAAATTTATAAAACTGCAATTCCAGTCGGTATAAAGAAAACAATGGGCATCGTGCTATGCGTGAAGCATAGATTTTCGATGTCGTGTTTTCCATTAAAGTAATGGACTTCGTGAATTTCGTTTTCCAAAAGTAATCATAAAACAAAGGACTCACTGCTCAAATAATCAATACCTCTTCGGACCTGCAACAGAAATTAGAATTTTTTAATTAAGATTAATTAAATTAAAATATTAAGTTTATAAATAATTATATAAACAACTGTAATAAAGAGCTGAAAAACTTTGGGTGTAAGTATAAATAAGTAGACAAAGAGTCAAGAAAAAACAAACAGATTTGCATTGTTTCATCAAAGAGGAACTTACACCATACTCCATTTGTATGGTGGTATGCGTATTATATGGGTCAAACAATTGAACAATCGTTGTCCCAATATTCAGAATCTTTCTTAATATGTAAAAAGTGATATTTTCTCAGGAAGTATTGGTTTTATCCGCGATATAGATCGCCCGTTTTAGCAATACGGTTGCGCTTTGATGAATACAAGTCTGCCCATTGATCAACTTTATGTTCATCATATTTTATAATATTAGTTTCTACGTAATTGGTTTTATGGTTATAGCCGAGATGTTCAATTATCATTTTAAATCTTCAAAAAATATTCCGTACCGTCTGGAGTTCCTCAAGGCTCACTTCTTAGTTCTTTCTCCTTTAAACTGTTCTCTCGACCGTTTTTTTGTTGTATTAGAAGCCAAGATATTCAATTATCATTTTAAATTCCCAAAAAATATTCCATATCGTCTGGAATTCCTCAAGGGTCACTTCTTAGTCCTTTCTTATTTAAACTCTTCTCTCGACGGTATTTTTGTTATATTAGAGGCCAAGATATTCAATTATCATCTTAAAGTTCCAAAAAATATTCCGTTCCGTCTGAAGTTCCTCAAGGCTAACTTCTTAGTCCTTTCTTGTTTAAACTGTTCTCTTGTCTGAATTTTTGTTATAGTAAAACCCAAGATTTTCAATTATCATTTTAAATAACAAAAAATATTCCGTATCGTCTGAAGATCCTCAGGGCTCACTTCTTAGTCCATCCTTGTTTAAACTCTCCGTCGGCCGTCTTTTTATAATAGCAGAAGCCAAGATGTTGAGTTATCATTTTAAATCTCCAAAAAATGCCGTCCTCTCTGGAGCTCCTCACGGCTCACTTCTTAGTCCTTTCTTATTTAAAATTATTCTAACTTCTAAATAACCACGTTGTTCAATTATCAACTTTAGCGGGTTTGTGGCAGCATAGAATGTACCCCATAAACCCACCAAACCAGGTGAGATATTTTATCGTCCTGAATAAACACATTTATGTAGAGTACGCCAAAGATTCATCAAATTTGGATTTTTTTACGGTAAAATTGAACTTAGAGTGAAAAGACCTGGCATAATATCAAATACCGCAGCAATTCCTCAAAATTTTATCTGTATATATCGTATTATTTTTATGTGTAGGTGGAATACAGAATACTTCACGGACCCACCAGCCTAGGTTAGTTTATGTATATATTTTGAGTAATGTGAGCGAGACACCGGCCTAAAACCCCGGCGCCTCGCAAAATTTTGAATTGTACATATAGTATGAAAGTTTCTAGTATTTATTAGAGCGAATTTTAGCGGGTTCTCAGTGGTACATACCTGAGACCCGCCAAACTTAGGCCAATTTGCCACAATGTTTAATTACAAAATTAAATAAATAACAACTTACAAAACTAGCATATTAGCTATTCCAAACAATGATGAGCCAGTAATGATGATAAATGGATTGGATAGATATAGCATTGTACAAACATAGTGTGCTGTACACTGTCGGTTTTTAGTCGTTCACCGTGCTTTCTCAAGTATTTGATAATTGCCTAGGTTTTGTTCGCTATATTTAAAAATAACCAGTAATGAGAACAAACTTTTCTTTACAAATATAAATTCCATGTGTTATGGCGAACCTGGTTTAATTAGTGAGTAGACAGGGGCAACAAAGGATAAAGAAAAGTGGGTGATAAAACCTCTACGTTATCCGTTTGTTCCGCCTATTTCTACGAGAATGGCCTTGGAAAAAAATCTGACTTGTTTGGACGGTGCTCAAGCAGAACACTTTAGTTCAAAAAGTACATTGTACAAAACCGGTAACCCATTGGAAAATACAATGGTAAAACGGTACAGGATCCGAAGGATAAACCTTGACAGGCAATAACGAATCGACCTTTGCTTTTTTCCGAGTTATTAATTGCCGTGAGAAAAGCCCAAAAGGCCGCTGAAGCGAACATGCACTATTCAACAGTTACGTAGTAATATTAGAAACAACGCGCGTAACTGATTTTATATGGGATCGTGATCTTTCCCAAATCGCTTGTAATCAAAACTTTCACCGGGGCATCCCAGGGTTCAGGACCTGGCAACAAGGGCGCATCCTTACAATACACTGCCTACTCCGGCATAAACATTACTAATTATTTCGTTTTGTCTATCCCATTGCACCGTCGCTACCACAGTTTCAGTGTTATGCGTCGGAATGTCTGGACGATATGACCCAGATCTGATACAAGTTCGATAAGTAGAACGATATCCAATGGGGGCTCAGGGGCGGGTTCAGACTGAACCAAATTTAACCCTTTCGGGACAGTGCATGCTATCGCTTCCATTAGTGAGGTAGTGACAACCTGCCATCAACTCACCCCTAATTCTACTCAAGTATTACGAGCGTGATATCGCGCTTTTGTCTCTTCAATTTTAGACTGCAATTCAAAGAAGCAGTGTTGCTTAAAACGGTAACCAACGGTGTTATGTTTTCTAAATTTCCCATTCTCGCCAGCACTAAATTAATAACTTAAACAGCACATTGCTTCTATGAACCTTAATATAAAAGTGAAGAGAGTAGAGCGCGCTATTACGTTCTCAGTATCTCACTTGGGGGACGAAGAGAGCTGGCCTACCGTCCTGAAAGGGTTAAGCGTGTGTCTTTTCTCTATGACGAAAAAATGAACGTTTTATCTTTAAGCGAACCGTGCTAAATTCTATAATGTTTGCATGTCCGAATTTATCAGTTTACGATTTCATGCTTACCCTTTCGCGGACGTTAATTGGGCGGATAAAAAGTGTAAAGGTTACGAGATTTGTTCGTGAATGCGCACCGCTCACAAGATTGCTCTCAAATGCCATCCATCGAGACTCTCGCCGAGCGTGCACTGGGATCCTTAAATATTTCGTAAGAGCCGATGGCTCTTCCTCCGAAACGCGGTTGGGTCCGCCACGCCTCGCTCTTCGCATCCTTCGTCGTTCCGGACGAGGAAACGGCGAATTCCGTGAGTGTCCGACGGACCGTTAAATTTCCTATCGACTGGGAGCCGATTCACCGCTCTGCCGGATTAAGCTATAAAGAGAAAGTAATCCGAAGCGCATGAAAAGCGTCATCTTCCAACTTACGAGCGCCTAGATGAAAGAAAGGAAATTTATAATTGTTGGAAAAAAGCCTTCGATCGTCCTATTTTCTTTCTTGTCGGAAAATAAAACCTTTCACACCATGTAACTAAATGAAGTTAGATATTAGCATATATTCACTTTAAACCCTCCTTTGGGAAGAAATACCGTCCTTTGAGATAATTGTCCATTGAATAAATACAATAGAGTTACACCGTATTAGGTTACAGCCTCCTGGATTTCATTATGGTGCGTAACCAAAATATGCCGTGGCCCGTCGAGTCGTGTTGATGTTACTATGTGACTTTGTAGATACAGCGGATAAGGTGTAAGATTAAGCCACACCAGAACGACGAGCAGGATTCTAAGTGTTCTACTTTCTATAACGGCTGCCCTACCCAAGCTCGCTTCTGGCGAAAGAAAATCGATCAGTGAATGCTTAAAATTATAAATGAATCAAAGTTCATATGTACGATAATGAGAAAGTTCATACGTTGGCCAAAAAAGGAGCTAATATGAATTTTCCAATTCCCCAAACCTACTGTGGCCTATCACTTTACGACAAAAAAGGATGAATCAAAAATTGGATCGTTAATGAGTACAAACCTTGGTGGAGCAGCATGAGACACGCTAAGAGATTCATAGAAGGCCATCGACAAAACTTTCAAAGTAATTAGTGGAAGGTAACAGGATTCCGGTTGGAATGAATCCTGACAGGGCACTGACGCCGAAGAAGGCACATGTACCGGCGTACTGACAGAAGAAATGCTGTGCAGATACTGCCAAGAAGAAGAAGAGGAGATTTTTGTGAGGGTCTATGTAGGTGTAGATTTCTGTAACTAGGAGAGGAAAACACGCAAGCAAGATTCTGCCTAGCCGCTGGCAAGGCTATGGAGGACTAACAACCTGAAGAGGCCTGGCCAGTGGGTTAAAAAATAGAGGAACACAATAGATTTACTCAGGTCGAGGTTTGAAAGGTCTTAGGTCGCCTCATTTATCCCTATCCCTGAAAAATGTCCTGCTTTCTCATTGGTAGTTAAAGTTTTATTATTATATATTTAGCCATGAAGTAGTGGTGTTCTTTCGGACCAACACTCGGTCCCTCCTCAGTCTTTTGTCCTTTTATGGGAGATCCAGGAAGACACCTCCTAGAGGACAAAAGACCTAGGAGGGGCCGAGTGTTAGTACGAAAGCTTTCAAAAGAAAATAAAAACCTGTGGAAGATCAAGATTGTGAAGAATATAAAAATTTTCAGTCCGAACAGGAAACGACATTCAATATAAACGCGATAAAATCATGGAACACATGGTTCTATAAAATTAATTAGTATTTAAACTTAACGGCAGACCTGTTCCCAGTACCCAGGACCAACACTCTTGGATTTTTTAAAGGTGACACGACTGTCGAACAAATCTGTCCACCTAAGTCAGTAGACATTTTTTGATGTCGATAGGAGGATGACCATAGAGAATCTTTCTTGATGAATGAAAAATAAATAATTGCTTTTTTCGAAAAGTCAGATTCCCAATCAAGTAGTTCTTTAAGAGGACAAATTTTCTTCTTTTTAAAAATGTACTGGAGGCATTTCTGATGTATTCCAGCACCATCAGCCCATCAAGATGACGCATTGAGCAATTCCGAGTCTGTTACAAACCTCAGAAAATTGTTCTGCACAACCTCCAGCATGGCGGAATTCTTACTGCATGTGAGCCTGGTAATGTTCAA